TTTTTTTTTTCCAAGCAGTTAAATACATTTCTTTTTATGATACTCAATGACAGACGCGGTCACTTTCTTTTGAGATTATGGTATTGTGGTTAGTTTTTTAAATTGTGTTTTCTGTTGATAATTATTATTATAACAAATAATAATAATACATCTACCTTTTTTGTATTTTTAACGTGTTTTTATGTACTTTTTGTGTTTCTATTTTTAAATGTATTTCCGCAGAATTGACAAAAAGGAAGAAGAAAAATTCATTCTCATGAAGAGAACGTCGAGATCCGTCATCCTGCAGTAAATAGAGAGTGATGGTCCAATACTGATTCATCTGCGTGTCCATGTCAATTTCTGCTCTCGTTTATCAGGCTGCCCTTCCAGCATAATAAAACTGACTCTTTCTCTCTCTCTGAGTGTGTGTGTGCACGTGCGTGTGTGTGCACGCGTGTGTGTTCATATACTATTACAGCTCAAAAATAAAGATGAAATCATCAGAGCTGTGTGTGATCCAAGCTCGTATAGTTCAAGGCCAAATTTGAAATGGACACAGAAGATCACAAACAACAACGACGATAATAATAATAATAATAATAATAATAATAATTCCCGCTGCTGCTCCGTGCGTGTGTGCGTTGCTTGTTGCACTTCATCTATTTTAAATTTATAGAATAATAATGAAAAAATAAATACATATCAGGGCAATGAAAATGAAACTTTTTCCAATCGTTCTTTACCTGTTAATCTGTCTTTGGCAAACCTCCGGCTGCTCTCCATCCATGGGAAGGTGAAGTTGGCCGCGTTCCCCATCCCCATACCGGGCACAGAGGGGATGCCGGCTCCGATGCCCGCCGGATGCGCGGACGGGGGCGGATGAGGAGCGGCAGCGGCTGCGGAGGGCGGCGGATGCGGCGGCGGCATGGGTCTGTGCGCCGGCACCCGGATCACTCCACCCGCGCCTCCGCCTGTTCCTCCAGCACCACCCGCGCCTCCTCCATTCACGTTTACGTTCATGTTCATGTTCATGCTGACGTTCATGTTCATGTTGACGTTGTAGGAACCTGCCAGACCCGCCGCTGCCGCCGCCGCTGCCATGGAGCAGGCCGGGTTGTAGACGCTGTTGTAGCCGTTGCTGCCGTACACATTGGGGGCCAGTGCGTAATCCGGGTCTGCGGTCCGGTTCGGCAGCATACAGCCGCTGGACTGGTCCGAGCTGTTGAGGATCTGGTCGATGCCGAAGCTGATGGGTTCATGCTGCTGCTGGTGCGTCTGGTTCACCTCCTCGATCCCGGTGTGCTCCATGCTTTAGTCGGTTTTTGTGCTCGTCTTGTGATCAGGGATGTGAATTTCTCATCTGGTTCAAATATACACCTTGTGTTTCTGTGAATTCTGCACTACTATTCTGCTCTCTGTGTTTTTAGGCCTTTTCTACTCCCAGTAAACCAACGAGCCAGTGCAACCCAGTGCTGCTCTCCAAAACCTGGACATTATTTCTGTCCACATCGGCTGTTCCCTAAATTAAATGCCAGTCCGTAGAACTAAGAAAGAGCGTATCCATCTCCGTGCGCAGCCAAACTGAGAAAAAGAAGACCCTCACCAGCGGAACACCAGCTGAGGAGATGCAGGATGTTGATCCCCACTCTCAAACACAAATCCGTGATTTCTCCTTCCGATTGGAGGAGTTACTTTTCTCAGGAGAGACTCGCTGCGCTTTGTTTGCTCTTACTCTGACTGCCACAGGCGATCCATGAACGCGCAGACAAAAACAAATAAAAGAAAAAAAAAAGGAAAATCAAAAAGTCAAAAGAATTTAAAAGAGCAACTCTGATATATCAAAGTGAACAGTTGTTGGAGGCGAGCGGCGCAGAGACGGATCTGAATCTGTTCTGGAGCTGCGCGTTACAGCAGGTGAGTCCAGCCTCTGCGTAAAAGCTGCCATTCGGTCATCCAGCCAAACCTCCATCCACTCCTCCTCCTCTTCCTCCACTTCCTCCTCCTCCTCCTCCTCCTTCTCTTCTCTCGGGTAGGACAGTTGTTTTTGCTCTGATGTCTTAAAGAAACAGCATCTTTGATCTGCGCGTCGTTCGTGTTGATTTCTAGCGCACTTATTTATTTATTATTATTATTATTATTATTATTATTATAGAATATCGAAATACTTTATATGGTTATGTTAGCTATTTTTAGACTAACATTAAGCTTGCTTCTTGGCTAACATTCAGCACCTTTTCATGTTGGCTAAGTTTTAGCTATGCCTCGACTAGATTTAGGTATTATTTAGCATCTAAATTCATTGGAGAACAAAAATAAAGTCCTGGGCAAATGATTACATGTCATTGTAATTTTTAGAAGGCTCACAACTTTTTTTTTTCTTTTTTCTATTTTTAAATGCATTTTAAGCTAATTTTGTTATCTGCCTACAGCTACAGACACTGATTTGGACACATTTTTTGTTGTGTGGAAATGTATCTGTATTTAACTAGTTTTACAATTTCTTTTTGATATCAGTAATAATTAACATTTTTGTGCATTATCCTGTTAACTATGTGAATGAGACGTTCCCTGGCCTTGTGTGGTTGAGCACCTATCCCCTTTAATGTCTATGCACACCCCTGTGTTTTCACTATCATTACCATGATTGTAATTCCCCCTTTTTGGTGAGCAGCCAGTTCATCTATTCATTTGAATGTCTGTCAGGGAGGCAGTCTGTGCTGTCTGACAGTTTTAAAGTCAGTCCGGTTGAAAGCTCTTCACATGCAGGCCTCTGGAGAACCTTCTGCTTGATGAGATTTGCTGTGGGAGTCCTCTGCCACATATAAGAAGACTCCTGCTGATGTTGGACATGATTTGCCAGAGAACCTGACAGCAGATACAACACATAAACGCACCACTGAAACCGTGTTGTCTGATTTTTTCTTTTTTTTTTCCGTGTGTGTGCGTCCCCAGAGTTTTTCAATCCACACTCTCCACCCATCATCCATGAATGGACCATGAGAGGATGAGATGCAGATCCTTGGCTGGAGGATGGAAGAATGAACGTGTGTGTGCCATATATCAGCTGGACATGAATCATGAGTGTGTGTGTGTGTGTGTGTGTGTGAGAGAGAGAGAGAGAGAGAGGGAGGTAGTACATGTCAAGCTGGAGCAATAAGCTGTTGCACCCTCACACACACTGAAGCAATAAATCTTGTGATATTGATGGGATGTGAGCAGTAGACACAGGCCTGATTTACAGCCTCTGATTCAAAGGAAACTTATTATAAAGAAATGAAACAGCAATGTGGAATTAAATGGGATTTTGCAATAGAATAGATTAATAGATTATACATTTATATATATATTTTTTTATTTTTAGGGAATTTCCATTCATTTTGACTACGTAGGTTTTGGTTACCTCCCCTTTATTTTGAGCCAACGTTCGGCCATTATTGGCTATAGGGAATTTTAAATATATTGATTTTTACAATAATTACTTTTATTTAGCCAACTTTACTGAATTCTTGTGTATTACTTGGACAAACACTTAACTACTTTATGATTGGCTTTTTGCTACATTTTCCAATACTTTTGTCCAACGACCATCATACTAAACTTTCTATGGTTGAATAGATAGATAGATAGATAGATAGATAGATAGATAGATAGATAGATAGATAGATAGATAGATAGATAGATAGATAGATAGATAGATAGATAGAGTGACTGATTGATAATTAAACAAATAAATAGTTCCATCCAGTGTCCAGTTGTACAAACGCTGCTTTGCTGATTTGCACAAATTATTTAACCTTCTGCACCTGCAGCCTTGATGCAGAGATGGGCAGGGTCTCAATTCAATAAAGATGAAAAATGGCTCATAAAAAAAGCAGGACACGAGGAAAAACGAATTTAATATATCACCGTTTTTATTACGCACTTATTTCACTTTCTGTGCGAATAAAGATATCTCTCAACTGCACAAGGTGGCTAGAGGGAAGCATAAAAATCAATTGTGTGAATTCGAGGCCATATCAATAACGGTTCGAGGACGAGGACAGTGAAGAGTGTGGCATAATGCTGCCACTGCTGCTGCTGCCATTAGGCCTGTTTATATTTGTGCTACTGTGAAATGAATAGGCAGGAGAGGAGCCATCCAGCAGCACATCAGATCACTGACAACGTAATTGGTCGTTTATGCAAAAGCAGGAAGATGTACAAGCAGGAAGGTGGGAAATAATGTTTGAGAGCCTCTTCAGGGAGACACGTCTCTCAGCTGGTGATGTCAGCAGCAGGGATGGGATGGGATGGGGTGGCTGCTTGGACATGGCTGGGATACAGCTTACAAACACAGGGCTTTTTTTTTTTATTGGATTTAGGTCAGAATGGTTGTGCAGGACAGTCAGTAACATTCACTTTGGGGACCTGGACCTAGAATACAGTATACATTCTATGTATACTACAGTATAATACAGTAAAACAGTATAATACAGTAAAACAGCTCAAAATAAGTCTCAGCAGTGTCATTTCAAAAGGCCACTCAGCTCACATTCACACTACACTCAGTCTGTGCAGAATGGAAGGCTCTCTGCCAACAGCAACAGATAAAGCTGCAAACCTCCATAATCTTCTACGGTGATATCAGAGTCAGCTCTATTGAGACTGACAACCTGAGCTTTTGTGTCACTGAAGAGACACCAGACAAGTGTCTGCTGTCATTATTCTCCATAGTTTAGTCTCTTCATCACTGATTGGCTGCCATCAGCTGCTGTTGTAACGAAGCCTTTGGGACTAATTGGATGATTTTGGTCATGTTTTTGGCAATATGTTTATAATATTTTCAGAGAAATTAGTGCAGCAGATATAGTATTTTTTAAATTGCTGCATACAAAACAACATTTTACTTCAAAGGTATGTGTAAGTATACAGTAGAATTTCCCTTTTTCTTTTAAATGGAAACCTTTTGCTGCTGCACTGAACCAGTTTTCCCTTTAGGGTCATTAAACATTCACCTAATAAGCATAGCTGCAAATATAGAAGGAGATTAAGATTATCATTATTTCTAAATAAAGATCACTATAACTTACTGGGAGCGCCCACAATAAGCGCCCACAATAAAGGAAGTTGAAAAAAAAAAAAAAAACCCCAAAAGGAAAAGCCAATAAAAGCTGAACTTATAGGTTTTAATGCAAACGTGAGACGAGGCTGCTGCAGGATTGTAATCAGCAATTTTACTAATGCAATAAAAGCTCCCAGTGCCAATTAAGGTATAAGGAGAGAGAGCGAGGGTGGGGGTGGATGGGCGGGACGAGTAGCCTCTCTTCATACCTTATACAAACACACACACACATGCACACGTGCGCACACACACTCAATATGAAAGCCCCTTGCTGACTTTGCCCAGAGGCGTTGTCGATGGTTGCCGGCTGTGCGTGATGAATCGTCATCTCCAGGCGATGCTGCTCGTCTGGGTAATAAAGTACCAGCAAAGCGGGGACAAAAGGAATTTGTCACAGTTGCCTTCTCGATATATTAGTGACCTGCTGCTCGCTTTGGTTTTTATTTAAGGAGGATCAGGAGGTGAGGAGAGGAGGCAGGAGCCTGAACATGGGATTACAATGAAAAAGGAAGGAGAGCGTGCTGATAATGAGTCAGTAGAGGTTGGACTCAGGCGTTTATGGAGAGCATTAGGCACAGGAAAAAGTCCGCGGACCTCCTGCTGAGCCAACAAATGTGTCACACTGCTGCCATTTATGTCATCATTGAGATGTTGCCTCCTTAAACAAGCGCTGTCATTAAATACCCCAAAACGGTTATTGGACTTGGGTGTTTACGGGCGTCTGTTACGCACCTGCGCGACTCAGATTTAATCAAATAGAGACACGTTGTTTAACTGATGTAATGTTCCACCTTTAAAAATGTATTTTATTAATTACATAATTAGATTTGGATATAGGCTGTATTAATATCGCCAGGTAAAAGCCAGCCCAGAAATTGTTTAGGTGAAAATGACTGCTAAAACAGAACACAACAGAAATACTGCTACGGAGAATTGGGCTAACAAAAGCAAACCTTTGGTCAACCCACAGGAAATAATAAAGAATATATAATTCTATAATATAATTCATATAATTATGTAGCTATAGATTGTGAAAAATAGTTAGAAAACATTAAATATAGCTTGAAGATAACTAGAACTAACTACTAACGATTGGCCTAAAAAGCAAGAGGATAATAAAATTACCCTACAATAACATAACCTTAAGTTAAAGTCAAAATGGTCTAAAATGAGAAAACAAAATGTGGCTTAGGTTAGCCTAGCAATAGATTACAGTTAGCCGTTACATATCTAGGCCAAACATATATAAAAGCAATACAAATAGCTACATGATAGCAAAATATCCTTCTTAAAAATAAAAATCTTATAAAATTAGCTGAACATATATGGATACATTTGAATGTCTTAATTGCTTCATTCTGTTGCTATCCTTATAGTTAAACTGTCAGTGTCTTTAGCCTTTAGCTTAAACCCTGTTTTGTCTGTGAGCAGGTTTAAATCATAGTTCTATGACATTTACCTCAGCTGATAACGTTTTGTCTTTGTAACACCTTACCATCACCTTTCACTGTGTCCTTTATTGTGTTTATTTTTAAAACTCCTGCACCTCTCTAGGTTCTGTTGGGTCACTGCTTGTGTTGACAAAGCTGTACACCTGTTTAAATGAACAAATAAGTCATAATTTGTTTACAGTCAAACTAACTAATAGTCTGTGTAGAGAAGCTGAATAAATCAGAATAAAACATCAACTGCAACCTTGTCACAGGGGCACAGGCCTGGAGGTCACATACTTTGTTCAACTGAATTTTCAGTTTTGTATTTTTTTAAATTTCATCTTTAAAATATAAATTAGTATAATCTGTTTT